CCAGGGGTCCGTGGAGATCGCCGTCGACGAGGACGAGAACGTCGTTTTGGACAAGAAAGGCTCCTACTTTGGGGAGCTGGCCCTGATCCGCGAGGAGCCCCGGGCCGCGGCGGTGAAGGCGCGGGGTGCGACGATCCTGGCCCGCATCTCGGGGGCGAACTTCAAGAAGCTCTGCCTCGGGTCGCCGTCGGTTGCCGCGGAGTTCGAGATCAAGGCGCTGGGCACCAAGGCGTCCGTCGGCGCCATGCTCGTGCACCCGCGCACAGCGCCGCTCCTGAAGGCGTCGCTCGACAAGGAGCTCGCGACGGAGAACTACGAGTGCTGGGACGCGATCGAGGCATTCCGTTTCGCGGCCGAGACCGCGGCCGATGACAAGCTCGCGGAGCAGGCGCTGGCCATCTACAAAAAATGGATCGACACGACGACCGACGACCAGGTGAATCTCAGCGGCAAGGTCACGCGGGCCCTGAAGACCTACTTCGACGGCGCGAAGCTGTGCCGAATTCAACCACTGGTTTGGGTGGTCCTGACCAAACTTCAAACTCTCTAGCTAGGTCAAATCAAAGTCGATTCGGCTGACTTTTGGACGAATCGATTTCTCTCGTCGAGCGCTCGAAGCAAAGCCGAAGAGCTCGCGTCGAAACTGTCGCGTACGCTCACATTCAAGTCGGGTTGAAGATTTGGATTCGGCACAGACGCGAAGCCCGCTGACCGGCCGCCGGTCTCCGTATTCGACAGCACGCAGAAGTGCATTATCCAACAATCTCAAGGGGAACCTCCAGCGCTTCTGCGTGACGGCCGAGTACAAGGCGTTCCTCGGCGAGCTCAACGTCTACAAGAAGGGCAGGAAGTAAGGACTTGGAAAGTTGGTGGGGGAGGGACGCCTTGCCTCGGACCGGCTCGGTTGGCGAAGCACATGATCTGCCGCACCCCCGGGTCACTTGCGCGCCGCCCTCTCGTCGAGCTCCTCGCGCCGCCCCCCGCCCCTATGACGACGCCCGCCGCGCCTGTTCTCAGCTTCGACGGCTCGACGGTGCCTGCCTCTTTTGACGCGCCGCAGAAAGGATATGCGATGCTTTACCTTTCCTCCACGAGGGGGTAGCAATTTTACGACGCGGAGTGGTGACGCTAAGTCTCTTGCTGAACAAGAACAACAATCCCAGAGCTACTCGCCATGGACCACCCGGTACTGGTGGTTCCGTGAATGACCCAGATTGTAGTAATTTTATATTTTTGACGAACATTCGTATTAGAGGGCAGTCGTGGGGTATTGCGCAGTTTCCCATGCTTTCGCGTTTCTTCGGTGGCGCCAGAGAGGCAGACCAGCAGCAGTACATCAGGATGCTGGCAAGCGGAATCAAGTCCGTTACCGCCGGCACCTATAACATTACGGTCAAAGCGTTTGCAGTGGAGAAGGCTATTTCAGGCATCGGGATGACTGAGGTTATGATTAGCACCCTGTTTACAGGCGCCCCGAGGTTCTCGAGGCGTCGTTCTAGCTCCGCGACTTTCGTGTTGAGTTCCACTTCGCTCGAGCTCGCTTTGGACATTCGCCGCGGCTGAATAAACCTATGCATGATGCGACGCATATCCTAGGTATCCTAAGCGAGTTGTGGACCACAAACGCTTGCAGTACGATGTTCGAACGATTTTTGACTCTGAGTTTGGTATGTTGCGAGTCTCGAGGGGAGATTATGAGAGTACTTCGCAGTAGGAACTCGGGGTCGGACGTCCCGAAACTTCAGTCCATGCCCTGGGGGAATCCGCAGAAACTAAGATCCCTCATCTCCGTCCCCTCAGCGCCGCGGGAGCGCCCGTACGAGCGTCTTCGGCCCCTGCTTCGCCTCGCACGACATGGAGTAATTTTTAAGGACCGCCGACCCCGACGTCCTACCGCGAAGTCCTCTCAATTTCTCCTCCCGTGGCCCGGAACATGCCAAACGCAGCGTCAGATATCGTTCAACCATCGTTAGTGTCGGATCATGCATAGATTTGTTCTCCTCATGGATGGGGTTCTGGCAACGATTCGTCTTGGCTTTGGCTTGTTTCTTCTCAGTTCCGCTGTTGCTTGAAAAGAAATTTTCTCGTTTGAATCCAGCTCGCCTACAGGTTGAGGACGGGTTGCTTACTAGAATCCTTACTAGTATGGGCACCTCCAACATGCCACCGTGACTAAGTGACTGGTAAAGGTCACACCTCGAGCTACGGGGTGGTAAACTTTGATTAAATTCTACTTGGGCGTACTCGGGGTGTCGGACTTCCCCTGGGTCCCCGGCGAGTTCCTGGCACCGATTTTCCGCGCACCAGGTTTCGATTAGATGTTCATCGCAATCCCAGCGGTTATACAGTGCGATAGTAATTTTTTGTAGTGAGGCTAAAAACTCCGCCCAATGAATGTCCCCATCAAGACACGCAGCCGCTGCGGCAGGCGGACGCGCGCCGATGCGCGGCCTGGACTGTGGCGCGGGGATTTCCGGTTCTCCCTGTAGCAGACGTGCATCTCCCAGCTAGCCCGCCCAGGTCATCAAGGTCCAAATATGGGAATCTGCTCAGCGGGATGCTGAAACCAGGCCTCCAAATCGTCACGTTGAATGCCAGGTCGGGGTTCGGCTTGCCTCCTGGTCTTTCTCCCAGTGATGCGACACGCTCCCATAGGCAAGTATTGATGTTAACTTTTGCCCTGTTGTGCGCGGTGACGCCCAACTTCGCGTCGTCCAGTTGATCAATCGGCTGTCCCCGCATACTTCAGCTCGATTCCGACATCATTCATGTTTCACCATGCTCAGATCGAATCACTTGGCAATGCCCGACCAGTAACGTGACTCAAAATTAAGCTCAAATTACACACACCAGCCGAGCCCGAGACTGGAAAGACGCTCGGAAGCCAGCTGCTCTTTCGCCTTTGTGACCTCCTGCAGGATATCTTCCTCGCTAACAGTAGATTTTGACGCAGACGATGGAATTCCTGGGTTGGCTTCGCCAATCGAGGGTGCCCTTATTGGCCCCAGCTTGTCGATCTCTGACGGCTTGACGTTCATCACGAATGCAACGTGGTCGATGATGACACGGAACGCAGCCGAGGGATTCTTCAGTGCCTCATTGTAATTTACGTCGATTGCGCCCCAGAGTTTCCATCGTCGGTACGCTGTCGCCCACGTTCTAATGGTCGCAAAATTGGTCGCTCGCGCGGGCATCCACCCGGCCCCAGCCGCTGATCGCAATTTGTCGTCGAGACTTCGATGACTGGTGAAAGCGATGGCGCGCTGGCAAAGCTTCATGGGCTCTTCGGTGAGTTCATGCGTCTTGAACAGCACGGTTGGTTTCGCGTCAAGCGACCCAAGAGAATTCGCTTCGCTTTTGTACCAGAGCTCGGCGTCTCTGGAATTCATGCTAACGTGCGTCAGGTAGGCCCAATAAGACACGTGCGTGACCTCTAGGTGCAATTTTACCAACGGCTTTCACAAGCTTTTTGTTCCCAGTGCTGCCAGCCCATGGCATGCCCGCCAATATCATCACCAGCTGACACCCGTTATGCGGCGGCTCTGATGCCAGAGCACGCGCGCTCGAGGCGAGCAGCAGGACCAGAAGCCGTACATCCGGGGTCCGTTCCTGGAGTAAGCATCGTCCTCGAACAATTCCTCGTTTATTTATAAATGAATCCCTCATTGACATGGCGTGGTTTGAACCTCTTCCATGCCGCCAAGAATCGCGTCGCAGTGCCGCGCCGCGCCACAAGTGACATCGCAGCACTCGACTCATTGCGGAACTTCAGAAGAAGGCGACGTCGCTTGTCGCAGGCTAATCACTATTCTCTGATGCACACCGGTTTCATGTCCCACCATTCTCTCACCGTCTAATTTCACCCCTCTTTGCTCTACATACACTCCACTCATCCTTACACGGCACAGCCGCCTTTACACGGCACAAAAAGACCCGCTCAACCCCCAAGCCTCATACCCACCGAACGTACCGCGCTGAGAGCAACAATCTTCGCATTTCACGATTCGAAGAACGCCCCACCAGACCTTACCCGCACATTTACAGAGAACACGCCGTCGACCGCCACTCTTGCTTGATACGCCACCTCATCGTTCGTGTTCTTCGGACTTCACTTCCTCCTCCTCTTCTTCACTCTCTCCTTCTTCCTCAGTTTCTCCTTCTTCGTCCTCATCTGTTTCTTCTCCCTCCGGCACGTCTTTACTGAATTTGGCGGCGATGTCTTGAAATAGCCTGCGCCCGACGCCGGTCAAGCTCAAACACGTAAAAACGTCGCCGCAAACGAACGCGTTTTCGCCATCGAGGTAATCGACAAAGTTAAATTCGGGACCAAGGAGCGAGATGGCATGGTGAATTGCGGGAGAGCGTAGATACCTGTTATGACCAGCGTTATTCGAAGAACGCGCGCGTACGCACGCGACGGTCTCGGAAAGCGTCGCTTCCTTCATCGTGGCGCAGAATTGCAAAGTAATTTTGACGGTTCATAGAAGCTGAGATCTCTGTGGCTAGATTACCTGTACGAGTCTCAGCCTCAACGAGGAATCCGTCGGGCCAGGGGGGCCTTCGCTCTCGATCATAGCGCCGCGCTGGCCTGGTCGGACCGCCGGCAGCGTCCTTGAGTTCCGCCACTGCAATCGAGATTACCTAATGAGCTCAAAGATGGCGTGGCTGATACACATACTGGGTTGTCCAAGGATGGCACGCGGAGAACTACCAGAATTCGTCGACAAAAATATGCGTGTATCATCTCAGTTGGACGACTCCATGTATGGGAACGATTTTGGTGCCGTGCCTGGGATTTTCTATCCTAACCAAAATCGGCCTGTTTCAGCACGTGCTCGCACATACCATGATGAATGTCGGAATTACGGGGCACCTCAGCCGTTCCATTTGGCAAAACAGCTTGCGACGATAAACTACTACGAAACTACTCTTGACTTCCAGAAATTTCGGAATCATGACTTGGTTCCAGAGAATGACGGGTTGTATCCTTTCGAGAGTAAGCTTAAGAGCGGATCGCACTACAATAATTTCGGAAAGAAACCCATGTTCAGCACTTGCGAACTTGGCTCAGAATCAGGCAGCACATGGTCTACTGAGAAGTTGGGCCCACTCCTCAGCACGGGGGGGTACGATTGGTGGCAGATCGGCTGGGCGGATGTCTTTGAACTCAGATCCAAATTAATCGATCGGAATGACGGTATCTTGATACACGCAAATTCAATTGTCGTAACTGATGCCGTTGGCCGGCCTCTATCGTATCCCCCGATTCACGTGCACCACATCCACTTGGCAATGCAACCAGCAGTGCGCCCGAGACAAGCAGAGTACTTCTGTGGTTTAAACACTCCAAAGCCGTGCTACAACTGGAGCTGGGCGATGGAATGGCATGGAGACTATGAGTGTCGAGATGACGAAGGGGGAGTTGGATGCCTGTTTGAAGACTACCCAGAGGGTTATGCTCGTCATCTGACTGAGCCCATTGATTTGGAAGGTGAAATCAACGACGTCCGTCCTCGAGGATCTGCACCCATGGAATGGTACTTAAATGTTGGCGTTCTCTGGCAGTATAAAGACGATAGCGAAGCGTTCATTCAGCTGATATCTTCAGCCCTGTGGGCTGGGGTGCCTGGACGCCAGGACTTGTACAACCAGCAGACCTATGTTAATACCTTCCCTGCGCCCATAGACTTCGATAGTTTTGCATGGGGCAATATGAAGATGCCATTCAACGGGGAGCTGGTTCGAAACAAAATTCACTCCCACATGACGTCTTTCTACAAGATGGTGATGGTCGTTGGAGACGTCTCTCGAATCATCCCTGAGAGCACGCTAAGGCCATCCGCCTTTGTGGCAGATATTTCACCAAGCTGGCGGTTTTCCACGACCGCCCGTAATGTAGCCGACTATGGCCATAGCAGCAGCCAGGCCATGTTTCAGTCGTATTACGGCACCATTCTTGATGAGGAAAAGCTCGATTTGATTTGCGTCAGTGAATCCGACCTCGCGGAAGTAGACGGCTACATCTACGACCGCAAACCAATTACAAGATGTAAGAATTGGGTTTTTAATCAAGGGGATGATGTTTTTACTCTTGGATGGATGGTAAAAAAAACATTTAAGTTCTCCGTCGGTGAACCCGACAATTTTGATGGCACTATTATCTCTCGTACTGTCCCGCAGCATCTTGCAAACTTTTTGCAATTTGTTAGCCATGACAGAGATTCGCGAATTACGTGGATATTGCCGTATAGAAGCTATCGAGCTGCGAAGATGCCATGGTGGCTTTGGAGGAATCTATTTTGTACTGGTGGAGAAGACGGATACCCTTTTTTAATATTTCATCTTTATGGGTGGACGCTTCAATCCAAACCGGAAATGCACTTGGCGTATTTTTTGTTTGTCACACTTGTTCTATTCAGTCTGTGCTTCGGCATCCCTATTGCGGCTGTTGCCATGCCTATCTACATTGTCTTGAAGAAAAAGGCGGACTAGTCGCACATGCGACAACAGCTCGCCATTCACAGATTGTATCTTATCGCCAAAGGCGTTTAGTTTCCTCCCAATTCATGACCGACTACTTGAAGAAGAACCAGTACCGTCAAAACTACCAGCAACAATAGAACCACTTGAAGAAGAACCAGCACCATTAAAATTGCATTGTTGCCTAGACCAGCTATCATCTCACACCGAATTTAACTTAGGATAGTTGGAACACAAAGGATAGCACTGGTTCTGTGGGGTGCGAGCAAGTAACGAGGACCCACCTGCAGTGGGTGGCTTACGCGCATAATTGATATAGCGACGATACACGCCGGAAAAAGTACCCACGGGAGAGCGCTCACCCGCCGACGTTCCTGAAAACCTTCGAGACATGTTGTTATATACCCGTGAAAGACGGGGGTGGGGCGGGGGGCGGGGGGGGCGCACGTCTCTCTACCAGCGCGCGTCACGGTCAGAGCGGCCGAGGCTGTCCAACATTGTCAGCTTTTCCGGGTCAAGTCCGCCCGGGCCCCGGTCTTTTTCTTCCACGTGACGTAAATCCCCCAATTGTCGTCCTGCGCGGTGATAGCGGTCACGCGGCATTCTTTTACGACGCCGAGGAGCGTCGCGAGCAGCACTGGCACGTCGCCTTCCGCCACGTCGCGCCACTTCCGCGTGCGTTCGTCCGCCGGCGGGCGCCTTCTATGCTTGAATTGCTTCGGCGTAATGGCGGGTTGCGTCGCCATAGTGTGTCGCTAACTCGGCTTAGCGAGAGCTAGAAACGCCTATGAACGCCTATGAACGCCTATAAACGCCTATAAACGCTTAGGACGGCTTAGATATATCTACTGAGATATATCTAGCAGCACTTAGGACACGACGCAAGCATGGGCGAGACATGTTCGTAGACGGCGGCAGCAGCGACGAAGACGGCGCGTCCGAGGGCAGCGAAGGCTCCGCTGCTGCGGCGGTCGACGATTGGTTCGATGGTTCGAGCGAAAGCGACGGCGATAGCAGCGCCAGGAACGCGGGAGCGAGAG